AAGGGTTGTCGATTTTGTCGCAAGCTACTTTTCTGACAAGCTGGGTTTGGTGCAAGGGGAGGTGGGGGTGGGGATGGTAAGCACACATGTGCCATGCATCCATGCATTGCTTAAATCTTGCTCTGCGCTCACCTGGCTCACAGGTTCTGTTATCATGCAATATCGTGCGGTGTCAGCGCGTAGTCTCCCTGTGTTTGTCTCTTGTTTTGCGAACCGTTCGTCCATCCAGCTTTCCGCGTGGCACGCTTGCCCCTTTTTATCTTGATCAGCACATTGACGTGTTTTCTGCGTTTTGGCGTTCGTCATTGCAGTGTGGATCCCTTCCGCTCTCCCATTGACTTCTCCGCTTTGTGTGAGTTTCATTCTGATCTGTGGCTGTCTGGGCCTCCTACGTTGCTCGTGTCCGTGGATTATCTTCTTCCATAGTATCTGCAGCTGCGTTAGTGTTGTCTCGACGCGTGCTGGGGCTCCGTCAGCTGGACTTGCCAATGGCCATGGGCGCGCAAAAGCTCATAGCAGCGCTGTGGCAATCGTGAGAGAAAATGTCAAAGAGTCTCATGGGATGGAGGTGTGTTTCTCACACATACGATGAGGTGCGTTTCTATTCGGGGCAAAGCCTTGTTTTGATTGATGTAATTTACCTTTTTTTAGGGACCCGAAATGCAAAATACTGAAACGTTTGCATTTTTGAAAAACAACTCTTCAAAATTGACAACCCTTCCACTGCGGCGAGAAGCGCTGGTGCCTGTTGTTGACAATGCTCCAGGTTCCATTGCAAAAGTAGGTGTTGCAGCTTCCAACCTCGAGTTTTCGCTGTCATTGGACGGCATCAAACATCTGTGCAACACGAATGACGAAATTGAACTTTCTCGAGCCCGGCATGACTCGTTCTGCTTTTGACCGTCTTGGTTGACTGAAGTGGTCGATACCTCCGTCATCACCACGCGTGAGTCAAGGAAACGCTTTGGCAAGAGATGGCAAGAGGGGAGCTCGAGGAAGAAGGGAGGAATCGAACCTGCGGACCTGGGCCGAACAAAATATAAAGCAGTCGTCACGTCGTCCCAGCTGGATGTCAGAACTCTACTCAACCGGGGAAAAAGCCCACTACGGTTAGTCTACGTGTCCCTGATCGAGTAGAGTTTTGACCTCTAGCTGGGAAGGCTCTTTTAGTGGAGGGGGATGACAGCACAGAGGCCGCGAAAGTGACGGTAAGTGGTTGAGCCACCCTGTGAAGGTACAGAGCAAGGTACGAAAAATATATATAACATATAGATAGTTATACATGTATGTATACACATGTTTTCCTCAGGAGACTTCAGCAAATGGAAGACCCGCAAAACGACCGAAGGACTTGAAAGGCGAAGGCTGAAGGTTGTGACGCAGCCAGGAGAAATCGCATGTCTCCCACCCCGAAATGGAGTGAGATACAGAGACTCCATACACAAAGGCCACAGGGGCCAGATAGGCCACAGCAAGAAGGCCAAACAAACATTAAAAAAGAAAAAAGAAAAAACGTAAGGAACCCGACGGCTGGGAACCGAGACACATATGGCTATGGGTCAAAAGCCCTCACCCCCAGTGAACATCCCAATCCCCACTCAAATGGGCTCTAAAATGGGTGGTGCACCTCCCCCAAAATGGGATCCCATTGGTTTTGACTTAGAGCCCACAGATTCTTCGGTCAAAAAATTGGCCAACGGCGAGGCGAAGGCATCGCCTGGAGAGGCGCCAGCCCTCGAGGCCCATGGGCGCCACCCTTGGCCTGGCGGAGGAACTCTCAGCTCGTGGCTCGCAAAACGCGGGTTAAAACCCCGAAGTGAAACCACCAAGGGATACCCAGCCAAAGAAAGAAGACACAACCAAAGCAAACATCGCTTCTTTCTAAGCAGCTTTTGTCCACCAGTTGTTGCTATTGCATTTCAGTCGTTTCAACCATGGCGGCTGGACGCCTGACAACAGGTAACCTCCTTGCTGGAGCCCAAACAAAGGGTCTCAGTGCCAAAAGGAGATATTCTCAAAAAAAATATTGCGGGTCTAAGGGGGGTCCATGCGAATTTGTAGGGAGTAATTGGTTGTTGGTTTTGACCTACCCTGTTGTTTGCACAAATGCCACCTCACAACAAACGTAGCCCATAGCGGTTTGGATTGGTGGGAACTGGGAGGTTCAACCCCTGGTTCTTGCAAAGGGTAAATGGGACACAACTTCCTACCCTCAAAACCACCGAACCATTCAGTTGTCCAAGACACTCTTCTTGCTTCGACCCAAAACGCCCACTTTCCATTTGAAAAAACGCCCTCCCACAGGCGCGCCGCCAAGCAAAGGTGAAGGCACCGGTCAGGCAGACACCCGCCTGACTGTGAACCGTCTGGACAGCACATCCGAAATTCAAGGACAGCTATTTGGCTGTGGGTCAAAACCCTGTACCCTGCAAAACATCAAAATAGGTGGCAAATGGATGTTCATCCACCCCAAAATGGAGCCATAGGTTATGCCCATCTATTGTTTCTTGGGCCGGTGACAAATACCCCGTCCTCTTTGTGGAAAATCACTTAGCTACGTAGTGGCTACTTAGCGAATCCGCAGAAAAGGGTCAATGGTCGCACCATTCAATCGAACGTGGCAAAGGGCATATGCCAGGCTTGCTGATCCAGGGCGAAATCCATAGACCACAGGGGTTGGGTGGGGGAAGGGCTCCACTTTTTTGACCCTTTTCACTGGACTTGAAACCAGGGGGTTCCTTTTGGGGAATCAACGCCTGGGGTTAAGTCTACTTGGGGTAATCAAAAACACGGAACCCTGCTGGGAGTTGTGATTGAATGATCACCCACCTTGGAGGCGTCCGATGTTTTTGACTCACAAACCCATCTCTCCACTACAAACACTCTGCTTCATGCGAGTGAAAGCCAGTTGGATGATCTTGCCATTCCAACCTCTCTTCCACTTCCGGGCGGGCAGGGCTACCACTATCCCGTTGTCAGGCTCTTGCCGTTGACCGCTCCAGTGGGGTCTGACACAAGAAATGAACCCCATGATTGGAACCAAAATGGTTGAGGTTGCGATCTTATTTGCCCAGACTCACTGTCCTAAAGTCAAAAAGGCCGACGTAAAACGAAACCCTTTAATGGATCGCTGAAAGCTATCCACAAATAAAAAAACCCACTTCGGGTGTCCTGGAAGACCAGTGTCTACACTTCCAGGGGGGTCGCTTTCTTTTCCAGCGACCTAGAAGGAAGCGGGCCCTCTGATTGTAGCTTTTATTGCCAGGGACCCCTGAGTCTAAGAAACCTCCGGGAGATACGGAAACCCACCAAATATCTGGGTTTTGGCAAACTTCCTCTAGAAATTCTGCCAAACCCCACTCCAAAACTCCAAGCCCTCCGCGGCCCAAAATGACCGTCTGATCAAACCCCGGTGACAGCGGGGTCTACCCAAAAACCATATCAAAACCCGTTGAAATCTGCCCTTCGTGGCAAAGGGACCTACAACTGTCTTTTCTGCCTTTCATCTCTGGGCCCTCTCACTGCCTACATAGTACAGTAGTATGTCTCGAAATGTGGAAACCCTATTCAAAGGTCTATTTCGTTTCCAACCTGGAACCAACTCCAACTGCTGCCTCTGACCCTGTCACCCACGCTCTCGCCCTCGCGATCTGGGGCTGCGGGCCACACCCAGGGTGGGAAGAGCCAGGCGAGGGAAGTGGTACCCAGCACCCATGTCACCGCCATGGAGCCACAAGCTGCGTCTTGCCCCATCAAGCTCCAGCTCAAGCCCAAACGGAACTCAATCTATGAGCCTTGGCCCTGGGGTGCACAGAAAAATCGGAATTTCGGATTGTGTGTGTTTGCTAGCCACCCTAACATCATGTAGACCGCAGGAGGTCAAAGTGTTGCCCTGGAAAGAACTGTGTACCAGAACGTGCTAGCGTGTCAACTTGTTCAGATTTATGGCTGCATGTTGTGTGTGTGTGGCAGTGCGACATTCTCATTTTTCACCCTGATTCTAGGGGGAAAGGGTGTGAACGTTTGTTGCGGCAACTCAAGAGGGCATTTTTTGTCTGGTGGTGGTGAATCTACATGCATGTGTATGCCAAAAGTGTTTGGGGGAGCCCTGGGCAACAAGCGTGTGCAATGCATGTTCAAGCAACTGGTTGAATGACATCATTTTGGTGGTTGAAACAAAACTTGCATACTCCGCTTGCAACCGCAACAAGCTCTGACAAGGGAACAATATGTGTCACAATGCTTTGCGGGCTGGCTTAAAAGCAAATCGAAAGGAACACCAACATTGTGGGGGTCCGAATCCCACACGCAAAGGGTTCCAAAATCTGCGACAGGCAGACGGTTTGCCCAACTGGTGGATTTTGTCCATCCACTGTGGGGTACCTCCAAAATGAATGCAACGCAAAGAGTCCCCTCTAAAAAGCGGGGAGGTGACCCTGAATGTTCCTTTGGCCCGCAATGGTCACCAATGGCCACCAACGGCCACCAACGGCCACCAATGGTCCCTGGCTGCAAGGGCTCCCGCTATGGTTTGGCACCGATGGGACGGATGCACTCGTACTATGTAAGCCACGAATCTTGGGGGTTCTTTCTCATTGTTCGTGAAAAATCGGGTGTCCAACTAGATGTCCCAGTTTTAATTTCAATAAGTTGGCTTGCTTCCTTTTTGGGGTGGTGTTTCAGGGGGATGCGCACAAACGTTTTGTTGGCCTCGAAGCCGGCCTGTTGGGTCCTCCGCGGGGAAGGAAGGATGCCGTGACTTTTGCCAAAAGCGGCTCTGCAAGCTACCTCCATTAGCACCCCCAGATTCAATAACCCATGGTTGAGTAATAACTTTGCATTTTAAACAAAAACTAAAGAAGACTTTATCAAACACTTAAAGATAAATGACTTGGATCTTTGCTGGGAAGCTTTCCGACAGAATGACAAACTAGTTGGAAGGGGTGTCTTGTGTTGTTTCCTTCCCCCCTACCTCCTGTCGACAAACTTGAGGCCCAAGCCTGCAGATCTCGCTGATCCGGCGCGGCGCCGCGCTTGGGCAAGCGGCTGAACTTGGCCAAACGGTGCCAGGCCGTGGCCACGTTGATCGCACTCCTGGCGCTCAACCAGTTTCATGGGGCCAAGCTCAACAGGAAATCAACTTGCCAATGTCCTTGGCCAATGTCCAGAAAAAAATCCGTCGCGTTATGTTTCTGTTGCGTTATGATGTCCATTAGGGATGTAATAGCAGGGTTTTTGGCGGATGGTAACAGGGGAAGGTCATGACCCATAGTTGCTTGGGTTGGGTTTGCTGGGGGGCGGGGGGCGGGCGACCTTCAACGGAACGGCAATGGAAGTGCTTCGCTGAGCTTCCCGCCAGGATGAAAGGTCGGCACCATCCAGCACTCGCAGCACTCCTCGGTACAGGCAGCTCCTTTCCTGGGCTGTTCAACATGGAGTGTTGGCCTATCTCAATCCATATTCCCTACTGGAGAACACCAGGGTGAGCATTTTAAGGATTGTCTGTGAACAGCCCAGTTCAACAACCAACCACAGAGACTGGGTCCATTGAAATGACAGCAGTCTTGCCTTCTAAAAGTTTGAGAGAGGGGGTAGCGAGTGGAATTTCCGGGGGTTGCTCCCCTTCACTTGCATTGTGACGGAGGAAATGCTACAACCAAACCCTGGCATACTTCAAAAGGGAACCAAAAGAAGGTGACTGGCCCAACCACGGTTGAGTCACAATCAAAACCTGGGATTAAAATGGTCGACCCAACACCATGTAAAGAATTAAATGGGCGGATCTCCGTACCTATCCATGGTTCAGACTATCCCTTTCTCACCTTCATCCAGCAGGGTTTTGGTTGTGGCGGTGTTGAGCATTCCGCTCATTGGCTTACACCGCCTTCAACACCACATGAACGGTCAGATGAGCCGGCTCCCCATGAGGTGGGAACTTTTGGGGCCCCCGCCGGATAGCCGTTCCGCCCGCGTCAGGCCCTCCTCGCGTTGTGCTGTTTTTAGCCCGAAAAAGACGGGGTTGGCCGTTGGACCGATAACTAGGGCGTCTGTTGAAACTAAGAATATGGGTGTCTCAGAATAGGGGACTCCAAAAATGGATAGGTTTGTTTGTTGGTTCCCTTCAACACCAATCAAAGAAAGTTCGCTACAAAGACGCGCCCATATCTTGATTTGGAATTCACTAAGCTCTACGCAGGCCCCTGGATTTTCCCCAAAACAGAGATCAAAGGGGTTTTCCTAATGACTCATTGTGATTCATTCTGGAAAGTTGGCACCATCCTACTTCCCAACCCTAATTGTTCGCTTCTGCTTCTTTCGAACTCTGAAGCAAACCCAACTGGGTGCTAAATGCGGAGTCTGGAAAAACATAAAAAGTATCTATTCCCTTCAATTCCTTTTCGCTTTCCTCGAGGACTCTAGCCCCCGGCAAATATAGCAGCCCAAACTCCTTTGTTTTGAGAGTGTCAGTAGTCCTGTCTCAGTGTGCTTGGTGTTATTTATGCTGAAAAATGTTCCGGAAGCCACACATCAGTTTGCACAACGCCCACATGCATGGGTCGCCCAAAAGAATGGTTCGTTTCCGGGTCTTCTGCGCTGACCCCGGCTGTTGCTTGGTGTCTCAAGGTCCTCCATGGTCCTTGCCCGCGGCTAGCTCCCTGAGCAAGGCCAGCTACGTGGGAAAGCTCCAAGGTCCTTTGAGAACGTCTGTTGTGCGAGCACGCCAGCGCCGCTCCTTTGCGGTGAGCCCTCGGGATCTGAGGATGTGGGCCAGCTCTGTCGGCAAATCTGGGCCTCTCTCTCTTCCCTGCCGAGGGGAAAGAAAAGCTCGTGAGACAAATGGCTCGCAAAAGCTTTTCGAGAGAAACTCAACAGCAAAAATAGGTTGATCCCTAAATTCGTCTTATTGGTTTTGTGGTGGTTCCTCCAAAAGCGACCCCCCCTCCCCCAACCAGGGCTTGGGTTAACATTGCGCAAGGGCCAAACAAAGCACACGATCCAACTCTCCATGGAACCCCGCGGAAAAAAACAAACTCCAAGTTAACAAGCAAATCTATGTTCGGGCAGCCAAGGCTTTCAGGCGTCGAAGGGCAGCATTGGAGGTCTAGGAGAATTACTCCAGTAGCAATGTCACATCCAGCCAAACTGGAGATAAGAAGCCCCCAATGCAGGGCCTTCATAGTGCATCGGTCAACTCTTGAGCTGAGGCCTTTCGGTCGATTCGCGACGCAAAGGTCTCCTGGACTCGGCGTGGATCAGAAGCTTCCTGCGACTCGTTTCGCTCGCCGAGAGGTACCAACACCCCTTGTGAGAGGTGAAATATCGGCCCAACCTCCATGAAATCAGGTAGGACCACCACCTGAATTCATTTGGGGCTGGGAACACCCCCCAAAAACAGAATTGCAAGGTTTCCTTAATCCAGGGTCGAAATGAGTGCGCAGACCCGTTCCATTCAAGCCTTTTTCAACCCATGCTCAAAACCCCACCCTAGCATGTGCCCAATGGAAATGGCATGTTTGAATTCTGAACCGTACTCTAAACCTCGGGAGTTTCCAAGTTACTTGGTTGCCTTCTAGTTTCCCAAAGACAGCAAGCACGTCCCCGCGGCGATGTTGCCCCTGCAACTGTTTGAAGAATACGACTTCTTCCAAACTGTTGAAGGCTTGAAGGTTGAAGATCTGACAATGTGACATAAGGGAAGGTAACGGAGACAGAAAAAAGTAGCCACCCAAAAATGAACCCGAACTCGGAGCACACATCTTGGTCTTGCAAAGCAGCCTCGCTTACATGCATGTCATTGGGCTGAAGCCCACAAAAACAGCACAACAGCTGCCGAGATAGCAGCACACTCTTGATTCAAGAAGGGGTTGACAAAACCGCTCACATGTCTTTAGGCTAAACACCCAGAAAAAGTACTCGGATGCTGCTTTGCTCCTTGTCGAACCTATGGCCTCATTTTGGAGCCCACCTTTGGTCTGGATTGGTGGTTTTTTGTTGTCAAAAGCTTAAGGCCCCGGAACTCAGTGAGTCGCCTTATCACGTGGATGTGTCTTTTGTAGGGCACCCACGCAAAAAGGTGGCTTCCTTTTGGCTTTCCTTCGCAAAAACAAACCCAGACAGGGCTCCATCAAAAAAGCCCTCCCCCCCCCCACCCGCCCCCCCCCCCCCCCCCCACCCGCCCCCCCCCCCCCGTGTTTCAACGACGCCTTGTCCGGCAAGAGCTGCGTGCGCCAGCCGCTGCCCGGGCTGTGGTCGAACCGCGGGTGCCGCCGCAGCTCCCCTCAGATCGATCGGGCGCGTGTGGTGACACGCGACTCATGTGTCGGACTGGCCTAAAAAGGCTTGGCCCACAAAAAAAGGGGTACGCCGAAAATCATATGTTCGGATTATGTTTCATGGTTCGCCTATCCTATGTGAAAGATAGGGAGGGAAGGTTTGGAGACCCCGGCAACATTCAACGCTAGGATTTGAATCGTTTCTCCATGTTCACTTTAAGGGCAACAATGAGGTCGCGGAGTGAAAGCCGTCGTGGCCTCTTTTTTGGGATGGACAAGCCACACCCAGGCACGACCCATCGGTTCGAACAAATGGCTTCCTTTTGTCCGTGGCCCCCGGCGCCATCGCGACCAGCTTGTTACCGGGTTTTCAAATCCGGGTCCTCTGATCTAAGTGGCTGGGTATCCAATGTTCCACAGCATCAATAAAAATCCCAGAAACCTGAAATGAAGGTTCTCTCTCAAGCAAGCCTGCAGGGTTACAGGTGCCCTTTAGATCGCAAGCGTCCTTTGCGCCAAAGACCTGATCATCAGAATGGAATGTTGGCGGCGTGTTGATCATCTTGAGGACCGGCTCGAATTGAGCAACCCAGCCCCACGTGGCTGCTTTCCCTCAAGCAACATTTCATTTGGTAACTTGCCTGGTACAAGTGACTTCTTTACCTAGTGTGGCATCCTGTTGCGGGGCTCCCTGTATTTCCCCTTTCAACATCAACAAGGAAGCTCGTTTTGGCTTTCCAACCACTAAGTGATGTTTGCAACCACCAAGATTGAACATTTTGGGGCCCAGACCTCGCCAGGTCTTTGTTTCGGCGAGCTGAGGCGCGCCAGGTCTTCGGAGTCGGCAGCTCCGCCTCCTCCGCCAGAACCCGCTCCGCTCGCCCTCCGCGCGGTGCGCGCGGAGGGCGCTCCGCCTTGGACGCAAGACCGAGCATCTGGAGGGTGGCTTGAAGGGATGAACAACCTGACTGAAACAGCTCACTTGTTTGAACCCAGCATCATTTGCAGGGTTTCAAACAGAAGCTAAAAGGAAACAAATCAGTTGAAGAGGCTTGAAACCCATCCCGGAGCACCCTGTCAACAAGGCTTAAGAAAGTTTGGTGAGCTTCTCTGAACGTCCGTCAAGGACTCAAGCCAAGAGGTCTCGATGAGAAAATCCGTCGGAGCAGCCAAAAAGGTGGAGACACGAATTGTGGATTCCCCCCGAGACCCCCCCATCGTGGAGCTGCGACGACCTCTTTGTAGGTTCCTTTCCCCACAAAGCGAAGGCGCCGTGGCCCCTTCTGCATGGGATCAAAAGGCGAAGGGCTCAAACACCCGATCCCCACAGGAAAAAACCGAGGGAAAACCAGCCGCGAAAAATTGAAACCTGGAGGGGGGGTCAAAGCTTTGGGGTTTACCATTCAACAACGTTTGACCCTAAGGAAAACCATGACCTCAGGTCAACAACTAAAGGAACCCTGGTTTGGTGCCCAAAAGGTAACTTGTTCTTGCTTGGTCACCCCCAACTCGGATCGCATCTGGGTTTAGCGCATTCCAAAAAGACGCAACCACTCTTTTGGAGGTGCCCCAAACAGGGGGCAAACGGCTGAGATTTTGGGCTGGGCTGATTACTTCGGCTCAAAACCGGCATCCTTCTGGTATCCCTTTGAAAAGAACTAGAGCCTCTACCCTCTTCTCACTTCCGATCGAGAGGCAAAGTCAACCCAAACCGTGTTACCACAAAACTGGCGACCAAACCCAAACAACGACACAAAGTTCAGGAACTCAAAAAGTGAGTCTTTCCCACCATGTCAGGATGCTGAGGGCGCCGTCAAGGTAAGGCCTGCGGGCGAAAAGGTGCCGATCTAGGGGGAATAGGGCCTAAATCATTCGAATGGGAAAACCAAGTTTAGCCAGAAGAGGAGTAAACGATTAGGAGTAAACGATTAGGAATTTCTTGGAGCCTTACGTTTCTCAGATAGTGCCGAAGAGTACCACACAGGGGGTGGAAAGAACTGAAGAATGGATGGAGATCACAAAAACACATCCAACAGCCGTTTTCTGCAGCACGCGAAGCTTATTTGCTACATGCTTTGGTCTTGTCCCTCCCGCATGCCATGGCTGCCATGTCCCTTCACAACAAGCTACTCCTTCCATGTCGATCAAGCAAACATGAATCTAACATGGGTATGTGACAAAATGGGGGGAGTTAATCATGGATTTTGTGTTCCTTTTCGGCTTCAAACCAACCCCAAAGGTGTACCAACTCTAAAAACAGCATTGCGTTCACTGGGATTCACTGGAACTCGGATCGCTCCTGAGGCTTGGCCCGTCAAAGCAAGTCGGCCTGCGCAATAGAGGACATCCACCCGATTCTTCTCAAGGTCACTACGTCGTGTAGGGTGCGGCTTCCTTCCGGTTTTCCTTCAAATACCAGGTAAAAGGGGGGTGCATTTTGAGACACTCCCATGGTGGCTGCAAACCCCGAGATGGTCACTCATCTGAGATGACTCACCTCTGCTTCAAGAGCAGAGACCCAGCTGGAGCTTCCGATTCTTCAGCGATCTAAGCCGAAGGCTCCCAAAAAGCCGAAGTCCCATCTTTCAGGAGATGAGTGTTGGGTCCTAATGAACGGGTACCCAGTGAATACACAAAGGCCCAAAAGATTGGCTCGAACCTTGGGAGGTGGCCATGCCGAAGGCCCATCTCCCAGCTGCGCCTCCCAGCGCCAAAAGCGCCGCCCCAAGCGCCAGCCGGGCCACGCGCGAAACCGCCATGGCGGATTGAAATTCGGAGCCCACGGAGACGCGGAGCCACTCGGTGTGTTGAGGCTGGCGGCTGCTTTGAGTGCGGTGTGGGCAAAACACCCAGAGAATCTGCGCGTCTGAAGGCACTTTAACGCTGTTCGCGATTCCTTACCGTAGCTATGCCGTAGTTGCAGCTCACAAGGCTTGGTGCAGTCAAGCCAAGTCTTGAGGCCGCATGAAGCAAGGGCAATCTGGGGGCTGGCCACTCTGCCGGAGATGGCATCTGCTGCTTTGACTGTCAAACTACGGCCGCGCGATTGCGCGTGAGCACCCAGTACACATTGACTTTGGGTTCTACCAACATTGGTAAAGACTAAGTGGGCTAAGTTTCTGTCCTAACTCTAAAATATCTTGCCACACTCCGATCTCAAAGTCCAAGAATCCGGCTAGGAACTTAGCCAAGTCCAAGAAAGAGGGATGCGACTTCGGGCTGGTTGTGACTGCTGACACCCACTTCCAAGCATGCCCAAGTCAACTCCATCCAGCTATGGCTGTTATTGGACCCGTGGCTTTCTTTCGAACACTCCAAGTACAAAAAAAAAGCAGTTCCAAGAAAAAACACTTTCTTGGAGGGGAGGGGGCTTGGTGCCCCTCTTAAATAGACCAAGATCCCCCGCGACTTTTTGAAAAGGCATCTGAAACTCGGATTCCTTGATCAAAACCCCACTTCAGCCCTGTGGGTTATTGCAAAAACACCACATATCGTAGAAAACTTCACTTGTTTGGGTGCTTCACATTTCAAGAAACAACTTGGGGCACAAATAAATTTGGGCAAACAGCTTGGATTTACGCCAGTTTTGGGGAGCACACAAAAAGAGTGGTTGCAGCTGGCGTACAAATCCCAGCGCCTGGGCATTGCCTCCTGACCTGCGAGGGCCGAGCGCGAGCGTCGGGTACAAACGTGAGGAAAAGGCAAAGCAGGTTGAATCAAGGTAGACGTAGTGGGACACAAGAAAACATGCATATATATAATGTGTATATATATATATACAATATGTATAATATATATATATATAGATATATATGATTGGGGATTGGTTGAAAGGGAAACCAAAAGGCAACCGATCATGGCAGGGGGTACCTCTACTTTGAAACAAACTCAACAAAGAATTAGTTGTTCGCACAACCTGAATACAGGAGCTCTAAGAAGAATCCCCTGTCATGTTACCCCCAGGGCTCGCCGTCTACGCAGCGCATCATCCACTCCCAATTATCCAGTTGACATCTTCGGAAACCAAAACAAAGCCAGCTTCCAGATGTTCCCACCATGATTTGTGGGCGTTGCTTTCGTGGAGCTCTTTCGGCTTCGGATTCCGACCCCAAAATGATCGCGAGTCCACAGGAAGGAGCCCCAAACCCAAAAAAATCGACCGCCTAGCCAAACTCTGGGCCTTCCGTATGACCTTGGAAAGCAACAAAACCCTTTGAGCAACCTTCAAGTGGGCGGCGCAGGTGCTTGTTTGCGACATAACCAAAGATGATGCCAGACTGAACACCCAGCCATCCCACGCCCAAATAGCTGTGGGCATCATTTCCTGGCTGAAGGCAGATCGCTTTATCGAAAGTCCCAAGCATGGATCTAAGCAAATTAGGTGAGAGTGGATGGCACGATTCCCTTTCTGTGGATAAAGTAAGGGGAATGACTAGACCGCAATTGGGACACTGTGCCATCTTCTTTGCGATAACCAAAAATAAAAATAAGAAATCCCCAAGTCCAGGACCTTCATAGTTGAGCTCGTCTTGCCAACTCGATTCAATTTGCCCAGCTGGAAGCAACCCTTTTTGTGGGAAGTAATCCGTTCAACAACTCCAAAAAGCAAGGGTGCCTAGAAGCAAATACTCGCTGCTTTCACAAGGAAATCCCTGCGCTGGTCATCTCATGTGGCGTTCGGCTTGGTCAAAGAGCGCTTTTGGTTCCCCCCCTCCAGGTCCTTTGCTTCCATCTCCGAGCCGTCTGAACACCTTTTTTGACCGGCCGCAATCCGCTCGCAGTCCGAGTTGGGTAGAACTGGGCGGCGTTAAGAGCCGAGAGTCCATGAAAGGATTGCAGGGGCCAGTAAGAGTCGGTTGGTGGCGTTTTGCTTCCCTTTACTTGAGATTCCTGGAAAACAACAATATGTCCAATTAGGAGATTCCCCCAAAACCAACAGGGATGTTTTAAAACAATTAAATAGAAAAGAACCTCAGCAAGTGGGATCTAACGTATCCTTCAAAAAACCCAAAAGTTTTTCCTTGGAGCCAGCCCTTCTCCCCAAATCTGTGCTCGGCTGTTCTGTAAGCTACGGACACACGTCGCATCCAAGAAAAATGGGGGCTTGCGACTTCAATCCTCTGGAAGCCCCTTTTCCGCAGCAGAGCTTCTCTCCCAACCCGGGAACATTCAACCGACTCAACTGACTCAGCTTGTGTTTATTTGCTACAAAGGGCAAAATATGGAACTAGAGCCTACTTGACATGAATATCAGGGCTCAACTGACACTCAACCTAACCGGACAGCACAACCCCCAAACTGTGCAAAGCGCACCGAGGTGAACGCCGCCCTCGCCGAGCCGGCGAGGAGCGCAGCTCAGTCCTCATCGCTGGTGAGCTTGGCATCCAAAGTTCCTGCCAAACGAACAGCCGCCCCTTTGGAGGACCTTGAAAGGCGCTCATCAAAGCTGAGTGGCTCTTTGATCCCTGCCGAAAGCTATTGCTTATTCTACGGGATATGTCACAAACACCTCTAAACTTTAAAGGTATAAAAGTCTAAGAGTATGGCTGAGAACCGTTTAGAAGAGTTGTTTATTTATTATTATTATTGTTTCGACCCCTTGGGCAATTGCGCTGACTCCAAGTGCATGGCATAAATCGAGTTAGCGTCAAGTCCTTGCCAAACATGCCAGACTTAGACTCCCTGCAAACGTGTCAGCTGCTTGCTTGTTGTAAAGGACACAAAGAAATCACCAGGAGGGTCAGAAGGGCCAAAGGACAAAAAGATTAGTTCGGGGCATTGAGGGTGAGGCTCTCAAAGTGACAGGTTACTCTCACCTCAGCTTCCTCTCAGTCCACCAAATCGGTCGGTTCTCAAATGTTCACACCTTGGGGTCTTCATCATCTCTTGGAGGCTCGGCGCCACCATACATCAACAAATCACTCCTAGTTTGAAGTCTGGCTTTTTCAGTTGATCGCCTCTTGGGGGGGGGGGGGCAAGGACGCAGATTTCGCTTTCCCTCGTTTTCTTTTTTTTTTTCCGGGTTGCGCTTTCTGTTGGGGGGTGGGGGGCTTCTGGGTCCGGCGCGAAACGAGTTAAATCCGCAGCCCACTTCCGGCGAGTTACACGCAGCTCTTTGGCCGTGCTCTCCTCACTCTGTCTTTTCGGATCCTGCAGTCTTCGGCTTGTACTCGTACTTCTCAAAGTCCAGGAAGATGGTCCTCACAGGGCGCTTGCCCCTTTGACAAAGTACCCCTGAAGGCCAAAAAATAAGGCAACCGAACCAAGTGTATCCCTCCGAAGAAGGTCCAACTTTGGTTTACCACGAAACTGGCTTAGACTCAGAAAGCGACTAAAGCCAGGAACTCAGCTGATCCGCGACCAAAACTATTCAGTGGCGCTTCTGCCACATTAACTGTTGGTTCTGCCACATCGCTCCCAAGATGTGAATCGATCTTGACAAGAATCCTTAGGTAACTAGTAGAACCACCCATGCTAAAGCGTGGCCCTGTTGGGTTCGGCGCTCGGGTCAACCAACCCCGGTGTCTCCTCTTCAAAGAGAGGGGCACGTGCTGGTACCCGACCATGGGGATCAACACTGAGGTGCTATCCCGGTACTTCGCGTAGTCTTCCTCGAAGCTGGGTGGGGCAACCAACCAACCAACCAGCCAGCCAGCCAGCCAGCAAGCCAGCCAACCAGCCAACCACCCAACCAGACACACCAACCAAAAAGACAAACAAACAAACA